TATGTTTCTATATCACTTGTCACAGCCTTGGGTAAGGAAGCTTATTCATTTTTTGAGACTGGGTCTCACTCTCTTATCTCAGCTAGAGTGCAGTGGGATCATCATAGCTCCCTGAAACTTCAAACTCCTGAGCTCAAGGAATCCCCCTTCCTCAGCCTTCCAAGTAGCTGGGACTACAGGCAGAGACAGAGTCTCCCTCTTGCTCAGGCTGGTCTTGAATTCCTGAGCAGAAGCCATCCTCCCTCCTTGGCCCCCCAGAGTGCTAGGATGACAGGCGTGAGCCATCGTGCCTGGCCAACAAAGCTTATTCTACATCTTCTTACCCTTTCTGTTTTATCTGCACAGAAGAGTCTTGTGTGATGTCTTTTTTGCACCACAATGTATGTTATTCCTGGCCGGTAATCTTCCTCCAAGCTAATACATGCCTTTCGAATTGCTATTAGTTCTGGCCAAGCTACCTGGAGATAGAAATGGAATTATGTTTAATCGAGAACCTGCCTAGTATCTCTCCAGTCTACCCAGAGTGGCAGATGGGAGGAATCTCTGTCAGATTCCTAGAAGCCCCAGAAGGCAACAATAGGATAATGAGAGTACCTGTTTCATCTGTCCCTCCGATACCCCTCCACGGTAATAGATGATCCGAGTGGGTTTGAAGCGGGTGGATTTGTAGAACTGGATCAGTAGTTCTCGAACCATGTTAGTAAGGTCCTGGATGACCTCCTGACTATACAGAAGCTCCTGGGAGATCTCCTGCCGGGAAGTCTGCACTCGAACTGTGGCACAATACCGGCTGGGGTGGCCATCCATACTGCCAACCACAGCAGCAATGGACGGCTTCTTCCCATCCCCTGCTGGGGGGTGTGTGACATCTGCTCCCAGGAAGATGACAGGCTGCTGGAACACCGAGGGCCTGCTCAGATTTAAGGAGATGTTGCCACTCAGACATACAAGTGAAAATGTTTAGGTCTAGCAAGATTTTATCCCCAGAGATAATCACAGATATAAGAGAGAACACTAGGGCCCCCTGAGTATTGGTGTCATCCAGTACAATGAATCTGGATTGACCAAAGAAGTGAATGTGATTTTTCTACAATAGTAGGAAGAGGAGATTAAAAAAAAGAGAGAGAACCTCACTCAAATTTAACAAAGCCTATGCGTGTAAAGTAAAAACTTGCCCAGAACAGGCTCTCTTAGGATCCTGAGGTTTCTACAATGGATGTAGAATTGCAGAATGTATATAGAACTGGGACCAAAACTCCAATTCTCATTAAGATGAAGAGATTTAGAGATCAGAATCAGATCTATCCCCTTCCTGGTTTGTTTTTCTCCATATAAAATACAGAGAAAAGATGCCACTCACTCTACCGAGGGCGACATAATGAGACTCTGTCTAAACAAACAGAGAAAAATATTTTGCCTATTTTATTTATTGTCTGCACATAAACAAATGTGAGCTCTACAAGGGCAAGAATTTTGTTTTGCTTTGTCTTGGTCACCACTATATCCCTAGTGCCTAAAATACTGCCCAGCCCACAGCTGGCACTCAATAAATATTTGTTTAAAAAAAGAATTAATTTGTTTGGCACTGATTTCTCCACCTAAGGCATATACAAAGGCTCTGTTGTTTC